TCCCCACATATATATGTATATCTATTGTAATTTACAAATGAAAAGAATCATTTTGTTCCTAACATGCTTGGTGAATGACGGATTTCACAAAAACCTATCTCTCAGAACTGACGATGTGGAGACACGTTCGTACATCGAGCAGAAATGGAAATGTTTGCCAGAGAAACAATTACTGTGTTCCTAGTCTGTTTAATAGTGCTGGTTTGAAATCCTTTAGTTTTCACTGTAAAACCGATTTGGAGCTAGTACCTCCCAATATAAATGTATGTATTGCTGTTTCCAAATAAAAAGAAATTTTTTGATCCTAACGTGCAAGGTGAAGGACGGATTTCACAAAGAGATACCACTCAAAAATGATCATGTTGACAGACGTTCATTCTTTTGGCATAAAGGGAACTCGTGTCAGGAGAAACATTTACTCTCATTTCCCAGTTTGTTTCCTACTGCCGGTTTCAATTTCCTGCAATTTTCATTGTAAAACCAAGTTGGAGCTTGAATCTACCCGTATTTATGTATGTATGGTTGTTTCCTACGAAAAAAAACTTTGTGCTCCTTACAAGCTAGGTGAAGGACGACTTTCACACAAACTTATCTCTCAGAAATGAAAAAGTGGAGAGACTTTCATTCAAGTAGCAACAAGGGAAAGGGATTGCAGTAGATACAATTAATCGTATTTTTATGTTGTTTCTTAGCGAATGTTTGAAATACCTGCACTTTTCACTGTAAATCAGATTTGGAGCATGTAACTTCCCATATATATGTATGTTGAGTGTTTCCAACTGAAAAGAAGCTTTGTGTTCCCAAGAATTTAGGTGAAGTACGGCTTTCACACACACTTATCTCTGAGAACTGATAATGTATAGAGGTTTCATTCATCCAGCACATGGGGAAAGGGTTGCAGTAAAACACTTACTCTGGTTTTTCAGTCTGTTTCCTTGTGCTGGTTTTCATACCCTGCATTTTCACTGCAAAATAGTGTTGGAGCTAGTACCTCCCCATACATATGTATGCAGTGCTGTTACCAACTTGAAAACATCTTTGTGTTCCCAACAAGCTAGTAGAAGGACAGTTTTCACACACACTTACATCTCAGAACTGAGCATGTGGAGAGACACTGGTTCATCTAGCACAAAGGGATCGTGTTGCAGGAGAAACACTTACTCTGTTTTCTTAGTCTGTTCCCTTGTGCCCGTTTTAATTTTCTGCATTCCCACTATAAGACGAGTTGGTGCTTGTACCTCCCCAAATATAAGCATGTGTGCTTTCCATCTGAAAAGAAACTCTCTGTTGCCCGCAAGCTAGGTGAAGCATGGATTTCACAGACAATTATCTCTGAAAACCGAGCATGTGGAGAGAATTTCGTTAATCTAGAACCAAGGAAACTTTTTGCAAGTGGTACAAATACTCTGATATCTAATTTTGATTCCTAGTGCTGGTTTGAATTCCCTGCATTGTTCATTGTAAAACTGAGGTGGAGATTATACCACCCCATATCTATGTACATATTGCACTTTCCTAATGAAAAGAAACTATGTGTTCCTAACTTATTAAGTGAAGGACGTCATTCACACACAAATTTCTCTCAGAAATTAGCATGTGGAGAGATTTTCATTCATCTAGCACAAGAGGACCTGTTTGAAGGAGAAACAGTTACTCTAGTTTCTCAGTCTGTTTTCAAGTGCCGGTTTGAAATTCCTGCATCTTTCACTGTAAAACTGAGTTGAAGCTACTACCTTCCAATGAATATGTGTTTGTTGTAATTTCCAAATGAAATAAATTTTGTGTTCCCAATAAGCCAGGTGAAGGACGGCTTTGAAACACACATATCTCTCAGAGTTAAGCATGTGGAGAGAGGACCGTTCATGTAGCACAAATGAAATGTGTTACAGTAGACACACTTACTCTGTTTTCCCAGTATGATTCCTAGAGCCCGTTTGAAGTTCCTGCAAATTTGAATGTAAGTCCGAGTTGGTACTTGTACATCCCAAAATATATGTACAAATGGTAGTTTCCAACTGAAAAGAAACTTTGTATTGTCAGCAAGCTAGGTGAAGAACGGCTTTGACACACACTTATCTCTCAGAAATTAGCATGTGGAGAGACGTTCATTCATCTAGCATGAAGGAAACAGATTAAAATTGATAAACTTTCTCTTATTTTTATTACTGTTTCCTAGTGGAAGTTTTAAGTTCCTGCAGTTTTCACTGTAAAACCGAGTTGAAGCTAGAACTTCCCAATATATATTTTTCTAGTGCAGTTTCTATCGAGAAAAATTTTGTTCTCAAGAATCTAGTTGAAGAGTGACTTTCATATATAGTTACCACTCAGAAATGAGCATGTGCAAGCAGGTTCTTTTTTCAAGCAAAAATGGAATGGGATGCAGTAGAAATTCTTGCTCTGGTGCCCCAGTCTTTTTCCATTAGCCGGTTTAAAGTTCCTACAACTTTATCTGTAAAATCGATTTTGTGCTTGTACCTCCCCATATATATGTACATTTTGTAATTTCCAACTGAAAGGAAAATTTGTGTTGCCAGCAAGCCAAGTGAAGAACGGCTGTCACACACACTTATCTCTCAGAAATAAGCATGTGGTTAGAATTTCTTTTATCTAGCACAAGGGAGGTTTATAAGATATACAAGTATTCTAATTTCTAAGTCTGTTTCCTGGGTCGGTTTGATGTTCCTGCTGTTTTCACTGAAAAACCGAGTTGGAGCTAGAACCTACCCATATAAATGTAAGTAGTGTACATTCCTAATGAAACGAAACTTTGTGTTCCCAACATGCTAGGTGAAGAACGTCTTTCACACACAATTTTGTGTGAGAATTGAGCATGTGGAGGGTCTTTTGTTCATCAAGCAACAAAGGAGCGGTTTAAAAGGATTACAAGTACTCTAATTTCTTAGTCTGTTTCCTAGGGTCGATTTGAAGTTCCTGCAGTTTTCACTGTAAAAGAGAGCTGGAGATAGAACCACCCTATATATATCTACATATTATAATTTCCAAATGAATGGAATCCTTTTGTTCCTAACATGTTTGGTCAAAGATGGATTTCACAAAAACCTATGTCTCAGGTCTGAGCCTGTGGAGACACTTTCGTTCATTGAGCACAAATGGAACTGTTTGCCAGAGAATCAATTCCTGTGTTTCTAGTTTGTTTATTAGTTCCGTTTTGAAATCCTTTAGTTTTCACTGTAAAAGCGATTTGGAGCTAGTACCTCCCGATATAAATGTAAGTATTGCTGTTTCCAAATGAAAAGAAACTTTTTGATCCTAACATGCAAGGTGAAGGACGGATTTCACATAGAGTTACGTCTCAGAAATGAGCATGTGGACAGACGTTCATTCTTCTAGCATAAAGGAAACGGTTGTCAGGGAAACGTTTACTCTGGTTTCCCAGTTTGTTTCCTATTGCCGGTTTTCAATTTCCTGCAATTTTCATTGTAAACCCAAGTTGGAGCTTGAATCTACCCGTATTTATGTATATATGGTTGTTTCCTACTAAAAGAAACTTTGTGCTCCTTACAAGCTAGGTGAAGGACGGCTTTCACACACACTTATCTCTCAGAAATGAACATGTGGAGAGATGTTCGTTCAACAAGCAACAAGAGAATGGGTTGCTGTAGATACAATTACTCTGATTTCTAAGTGTGTTTCCTAGCGAATATTTGAAGTAACTACAGATTTCACTGTAAAACAGATTTGGAGTTATAACCTCCCATATATATATATATATATATGTATTGTTTTTTCCAAATGAAAAGAATCTTTTTGTTCCTTACATGCTTGTTGAGGGACAGATTCCACAAAAACTTTTGTCTCAGAGCTGAGCATGTGGAGACACGTTCGTTCATCGAGCACAAATGGAATGGTTTGCCGGAGAAACAATTACTGTGTTTGTCAGTCTGTTTAATAGTGCCAGTAGGACATCCTGCAGTTTTCACTGTAAAACTGAGTTGGAGCTAGTAACACCCCATATATATGTATGCATTTTAATTTCCTAGTGAATAGAAACTTCGTGTTCCCAACATGCTAGCTGAAGTACGTCTTTCACACACTATTTTCTCCCAGAAGTTAGAAGGTAGACAGACTTTCATTCATCTTGCACATAGGGAACGGGTTGCATTAGAAACACTTACTCAGTTTTCTCAGCTTGTTTCCTACTGCCGGTTAGAATTTCCTGCAGTTTGCACTGTAAATCTGAGTTGGAGCAAGTACATACCCATATATATGTATGTTGAGTAGTTTCCAACTGAAAAGAAGCCTTGTGTTCCCAAAAACCTAGGTGAAATATGGCATTCACACACACTTATCTCCAAGAACTGACAATGTAGTGACGGTTCATTCATCCAGCACATGTGGAGCGGGTTGCAGTAAAACACTTACTCTGTTTTCTCAGTGTTTCCTTGAGCCAGTTTTAATTACCTGCATTCTCACTGTAAGCCGAGTTGGTGCTTGTACCTCCCCAAATATATGCACGTAGTGTACTTTCCATCTGAAAAGAGACTCTATGTTGCCCGCAAGCAAGGTGAAGCAAAGATTTCAGAGACACTTATCTCTGAAAACCGTGCATGTGGAGAGAATTTCGTTAATGTAGAACCATGAGAAATTTTTGCAAGTGGTACACCTACTCTGATATCTAATTTTGATTCCTAGTGCCGGTTTAAATTCCCTGCATTGTTTATTGTAAAACTGAGATGGAGCTAGTACCACCCCATATATATGTAAATATTGTACTTTCCTAATGAAAAGTAACTTTATGTTCCAAACTGTTTAGGTGAAGGCATCTTTCACACAGAAATATCTCTCAGAAATTAACATGTGGAGAGACATTTATTCATCTTGCACAAAAGGACCGGGTTGAAGGAGAAACTGTTACTCAATTTTCTCAGTCTGTTTTCAAGTGTCGGTTTGAAATTCCTGCAGCTTTCACTGTAAAACCGAGTTGAAGCTATTACCTCCCAATGTATAAGTGTTTAGTGTAATTTCCAAATGGAAAGAACCTTGGTGTTCCCAACAAGCCAGGTGAAGGACGGCTTTGAAACACACTTTTCTGTCAGAGTTAAGCGTGTGGAGAGACGACCATTCATCTAGCACAAATGGAAAGTGTTGCAGTAGACACACTGACTCTGTTTTCCCAGTATGATTCCTAGAGCCCGTTTGAAGTTCCTGCAAATTTGAATGGAAGCCTGAGTTGGTACTTGTACCTCCCCATATATATGTACGTACTGTAGTTTCCAACTGCAAAGAAACTTTGTTTTGCCAGCAAGCTAGGTGAAAGACGGCTTTCACACACACTTATCTCTCAGAAATTAGCATGTGGAGAGACGTGCATTCATCTAGCATGAAGAGAATGGGTACAAATTGAGAAAATTTCTCTTATTTCTATGACTGTTTCCTAGTGCAGGTTTGAAGTTCCTCCAGTTTTCAGTGTAAAACAGATTTGGAGCTAGAACATCCCCATATATATTTATGTAGGGTAGATTCTAAGGGAAAAAAATTTTGTTCCCATGGATCTAGGTGAAGAGCGACTTTCACAAAAAGTTACCACTCAGAAATGAACATGTGCAGACAGGTTCTTTATTCAAACACAAATGGAATGGGTTGCAGTAGAAATACTTACTCTGGGTTCCCAAGCTTTTTCCATTAGCCTGTTTGTAGTTCCTACAATTTTAAGTGTAAAATCGATTTTGTGCTCGTAACTCCCCATATATATGTACGTTTTGTATTTTCCAACTGAAAAGAAAATTTGTGTTGCCAGCAAGCTAGGTGAAGTGCGGCTATCACACACATTTATCTCTCAGATATTAGCATGTGGATAGACTTTCTTTCATCTAGCACCAAGGGAGCGGTATAAAACTGATATAAATATTCTCATTTCTACCTCTGTTTCCTGGGTCGGTTTGATATTCCTGCATTATTCACTGAAAAACCGAGTTGGAGCTAGCACCTCTCCATATATATATAAGTATTGTACATTCCTAAAGAAAAAACACTTTGTGTTCCCAACTTGCGAGTTTAAGGAAGTCTTTCACACACAAATTTCTCTCGAATTTAGCATGTGAGAGACTTTCACTCATCTAGCACAAAAGGAACAGTTAGCAGGAGAAACAGTTACTCTGGTTTCTCAGTCTGTTTCCTAGTGCCTCCTTGAAATTTCTGCAGCTTTCACTGTAAAACCAATTTGGAACCAGTACCTCCCTATGTATATCTCTGTAGTGCAATTTCCAAATGAATAAATCTTTGTGTTCCAATAAGTCAGGTGAAGGACGGATTTTGCACACACTAATTTCTCAGAATTAAGCATGTGGAGAGACGATCGTTCATCTATCACAAATGGAACATGTTGAAGTATACACACTTACTCTGGGTTCCCAGTCTGCATCCAAGTTCCCATTTGAGGTTCCTGCAAATTTCACTGTAAACCCGAATTTTTTACTTGTACCTCCCCATATATATGTACATACTCTAATTTCCAACTGAAAGAAACTGTTTTGCCAGCAAGCTAGGTGAAGGAATGCTTTCACACACAATTATCTCCAGATATTAGCATGTGGAGAGACATTCGTTCATCTAGCACCAAGGGAGGGTGTTAATAGTGATACAATTGCTCTTATTTCTGAGTGTGTTTCATAGGTTCGGATTGACATTCCTGCAGTTTTCAGTGTAAAACCAAGTTGGTGCTACTTCCTCCCCATATATATGTACGTATTGTTCTTAACTAATGAAAAGATGATTCGTATTCACAACATGCTAGTTGAAGTATTTCATCCCCACACAATTTTCCCTCAGATCTTAGTATGTTTAGACACTTTCATTCATCTTACAAATAGGGTATGAGTTCCAGTGGAAGCACTTTGTTTTCTCATTTTGTTTCCTATTGCCAGTTTTAATTTTCTGTATTTTCATTGTAAAACCGATTTGTAGCTAGTACATCCCCATATATATTTATGTAGTGAAATTTCCAACTGGAAAAAATCTTTGTGTTCCCAACAAGCTAATAGAAGGACAGCATTCACACACACTTATTTCTCAGGCCTTTGCATTGGAGAGACTTCCGTTCATCTGCACAAAGGGATCGTGTTGCAGGAGAAACACTTACTCTGGATTCTCAGTCTGTTTCCTTGTGCCAGGTTTAATTTCCTGCATTATCAGTGTAAGCAGAGTTGGTGTTTGTACCTCCACAAATATATGTACGTAGTGTTCTTTCCATTTGAAAAGAAACTGTGTGTTGCCAGCAAGCTAAGTTAATCACGGCTTTCACTGAAAGTTGTCACTAAAATCCGAGCATGTGGAGAGAAGTTTGTTAAACTAGAAGCACGGAAACGGGTTGCAAGTGGTACACACAACCTGATATCTAATTTTCATTCCTATTGCCGTGTTGAATTTCCTGCAGTGTTCACAGTAATACTGAGATGGAGCAGTTCTGCCCCATATATATATAAGTATTGTACATTCCTAATTAAAATAAAATTTGTGTTCCCAACTTGCTAGTTGAAGGACGTCTTTCACACACAACTTTCTCTCAGAAATTCGCATGTGGAGAGACTTTCTTTCATCTAGCACAAAAGGAACGGTTTGCAGGAGAAACAGTTACTCTGGTTTCTCAGTCTGTTTCCTAGTGCCTGTTTGAAATTCCTGCAGCTTTCTCTGTAAAACCGATTTTGAGCTAGTACCTCCGCATGTATATGTGTTTAGTGTGATTTCCAAATGAATAGAAACTTTGTGTTCCCAATAACCCAGGTCAAGGTAGGATTTCGCACACAATTATCTACCAGCATAAAGCATGTGGAGAGATGGTCGTTCATCTAGCACAAATGGAAGTGGTTGCAGTAGACACACTTACTCTGGGTTCCCAGTCTGCTTCCTAGAGCCCATTTGAAGTTCCTGCAATTTCACCGTAAACCCATATTTTTTACTTGTACCTCCCCATATATGTGTACGTACTGTAATTTCCAACTGAAAGAAACTTTGTTTTGCCCGCAAGCTAGGTGAAGGAATGCTTTCACACACAATTATCTCTCAGATATTAGCATGTGGAGAGACTTTCTTTCATCTAGCACCAAGGGAGTGTGTTAAAGTGATACAATTGCTCTTATTTCTAACTGTGTTTCATAGGATCGTTTTGAAATTCCTGCAGTTTTCAGTGTAAAACCGAGTTGGGGCTAGTACCTCCCCATATAAATGTACGTATTGTACTTTCCTAATG